CTTGCGAGAGGAGGCATTTCATGCGATAAGTAGTATACTGCTAGTGACTTAGGTAAAATGCGTATTGGAATGAAGCGTGACTGAAATTTTACTCTTAAAAATGCAAAGTTTTCGAGGAAAATACGAGGGGAATAAATGTTTGCATATTTTTCGCAGTCATTTGATAGTACGTGAAACAAAAGCTGTCTGACCACTTATGCTTATGCGAGATTCGCTCAGAAGGTTTTGAGACGGGCAAAAACGAATTAGCTCAGAGAACAGTGATTGAAACAGGTTGAAAAAGGTTATTTGCTAACCATTGTGAACAAGATTCAATACGATTCTAACAAAACTTTTTTTCCAGAATTTTTTAGTCAGGAATGTAGGCGTTCTCAGTCGACACCATGGAGCTGAACAGGGAGCACTTCCGCGCCATGATCAGATGACTGCTTTAAATTTAGCGCGGTATTTTGCGAGTTTGCATATTAAAGAGGGACAGAATATCTTCCATAGCCATAGTTTTACGCTGCTTGACAGTCGAAGGGAAGAACCAGCATCGAAGTCGATCCCCGTGGTAGAAGACTTGCAACTGCTTTCACCGAAGAAAACATTCAGAAAGTGGAAGTTTCTGATTCGAGGAAACCGAACATGCATATATCGAGATATTGAGGAGTATCTGAATATTGGATCGCGGAGAATTGCAGAAATCCAGCATGGACTTCTTCGAGTCAGAAAATTGTCTGTTGAGTCCCCAACAACTTGTCAGAAGAGCAGAAATTGGTCCGAGAGGAAATTAAGAGTAAACGCTCCAAACTTTTCAAGATGAACGCTTGAAACATAGTTTTGACATGGACACTGGTGAGGAGTCGTGGATTTACCAGTGTGATTCGGAAACAGAGAGGGAATCTGCAGTTTGGGCGTTCCATCGAGACGACACGCCCACGAAGGTAAAGAAGGGAAGAAGATGGTTCCCACTTTCTTCCTTGTCAGTGGTCAGGTGGCGACAGTTTTTATCGGAGGACCCATGAACAATGAATGCCAAGTGGCACACCGCCGTCTGCCTGCCCAAAGTTTCCAAAAAAAATGTAGCAAGAAAAAAGAAAACCAAGTCCTGGGTTCCGGGGGCCAACTCTTTTGTCACAACAATTCCTCCAGTCACACGGCAGCAAGGACGTGTGGTCTACCTGGAAGAAACTCTCGGTCGCCTGGTCACCCATCCACCCCATAATTCTAATTTGGATCCTTGCGATGACTTTTGCTCACAAGATTCATTTGATTCCTTTGAAAGGAAGCGGTTCGCAAGTGCAGAAGAAGCCGTCATAGCGTGTGAGAAGCAATTTCTGAGGTGCCAGAGGAGGAATGACGTTGAAGCTCCCAGAGATGGTTTATGAGGTGAAAAATATCGCGTGGAGTGTTCTGGGGAGTACTTAAAAAAGTTTTAGACGCTGAAATGAAATGTTGCCAATTTCTCCTCGCATATCTCAAAACTTTGTGTTCCCCTCGTAGAAATAACTGAGGGTGCAAACCTCTGTCCGAGCCCCTTCAGGGGAGAAAAAAAGAATTGGAAAGGGGGCGATGAGCTCTAACCAGGGCAGAGCGAATCCCCACGAAATACGTCACTGACTAACTGAAAATTTTGTTGCAGCTAAAAGTCTTCATAATAACTAGTCGAAGCCCGGATCCTCCGGGTATAACCTTAAAAAATCACCTAAAAGGGGAAAGGTCACATCGAAAAATGAACTTGTCTGGCGAACTCAGGCTGTTGAATGACTCCTACTCACAAAGAAGCATATTATTTGGATGAAATATGACCCTGGTGACCCTAGGCGGCCCAGTGACCCAAAACACCCTGCACACATAACTTACCCTGTACACACGGGCTAATTAGCAATTTTTTTGTTTCATTTTATGTAGCATCGAGTGTGGAAATCCTCCACGACCTGGAATGTAAAATTGCAAGGCTTGGAGTGCACGGCTTGGCCGGGAAAATGACCCTGAATTGTTGACCTTTGACCT